TAGATTTAATGTTTCTTTCTCTGTAGAAGTATTGTTATTGACATTTAGAAAATAAACTTTAACAAAAAAAGCAAATTATCTAATGGAGGAATTAGCAATTCTTATTTATTTTTCATATGCGTATGTGAGCTGTTTTTAACAGTTGAGAACACTCAATTTTAAAAATTCTTATTCATCTTTCTTAGTTAATAAGGTAGACAATTTATTTCTTGGCAATATTTCCTCTAAAAGTTTATTTACCATCTGAAAAAATTTTGTTTTGTAAATTGAAATTCTAATTAAAGATCAAATGTTTCATTAGTGGGAAGTTTCATATTAGAAGATAACAGGATTATCAATGGTGCAGAAATAAATGTAAAATAGGAATGTATGCTTTTATTTCTACTATATCACATAAGTTAAGAGAATTTGACAAAAAGTATCTTTGAATTCTTATGACTTATTTATGTTTCTACAAAGGCACAAATTTAATATTCCCATTTTTCCTTTATTACTAATGATAGGTACTTTTATTTTTCATTTGAATTACTTTATCATAATATTTTCCCCTGATTTTAAGGAGACAATCTCTCAATAACAAGATCTAAAGTTTCTTCTGCAAACAAAAAACAATGTCTGAAGCTATTTTTTATCAATTTCTAAATAACATTGTTTTTACCAATATATAAGTCATACTATAGAGAATAAGAATTTTATGATATAAAAAATCTATAGTTTAGGGCTCCTGTAAGAATTGAATTGTGCCCCACCCCCATCAAAAATACATACTTTGTATCCAAATCCCCTACATGACTGTATTGGGAGGTGGGACCTACAAGATAGTAGTTGAGGATAAAGGATGTCATAAGGGTGGTACCCTTATCTGATTGGATTAGTGTCCCTATAATGAGACACCAGTGGGGTGCGGGTAAGTGCATGCTTGTAATCCCAGCCCCTCAGGAGACAGAAGCAGGAGAATCTCAAGTTCAAAGCCAGCCTCAGCAAAAGTGAAAGGCTAAGCAACTCTATGAGACCCTATCTCTAAATAAAATACAAAATAAGGCTGGGAATATGGCTCAGTGGTTGAGTGACCCTGAGTTCAATTCCTTGGTTATTCCCCCCCCCAAAAAAAAAAGACCAGAGGGCTTAGTCAAAAGCAAGAACCATTTTCTTCTCTCTTTCTCCCCTCCCCATCCCTCTCCACCCCCATGTGGGTGTGGGTGGGGGTGAGGGGGTTGTCCAGGAAGAGAGCCCTCACCAGAAACGGAATTGGCCAGACTCTTGATCTTTGAGTTCTCAGCCTTAAGAACTATGAACTAACAAACTTCTGTTGTTTAAACTGCCCACTTTGTGGTATTTCGTAATGCAGTCTGAGCACAGGAAGACAATCTAATTCTTGGAGATCCTGGTTTGAGAGTCGTTGGGTGAAATAAAGAATATGTGATTTTAACAAGAATGTTTGCTCTTGAGGTGGAATTGGTAGGTTTAACTCAACTGTGCTGTTGGAGATTTCTTCTTCAGTGACTGCCAAGTGTTCATTGTCCTTGGTAAAATACCCTCCTGAAAGGTGTCTAAAGAAAATCTGTTCCACTCTTGAATTAAAGTCACAGAACTTGGACAGATTATTTCATCTCTCTGAGGCTAACTTTCCTTATCTCTGAAATGGTGACAGTGTTATCTGAGAAAATGGCATATTATATGCACAATTCCAGCATATGGGAGAAACTTATTGAATGTGTTCTTGTTCTTAGGCGCAGTATGTTTCCAACAATTCTGAAGCTTGATCTATTACATTTCCTCATCATAAGATCAGAGCCCTGTTAACAAGTCATTGATAAACAATGTCTTTGTGTAAATTATTTGCTTATTTAAGCATTTCATGGCACTCTTATCAAACAAAAGATAACCCCTCTGAATTGGTTTCAGAGGAGTAAGATGAAGGAAGTCAAATTTCTATGGTTTCTATTTAACAATTTTTGTGATTTATGTCACTTAGATTAAAAACCATGGAGCCACTGATAAATGGAATGCCAATTTTTAATGTTTTGGTTTTTAGTCTTTGCTAATTGTCTCGTTGATGATTCCTTCTAATTGCGTATTTTACCATAGGCAGAAGGTAATTGTATTTTGACCTGAATTTTTAAAGTGTGCCAGTTTTCTGCTTAGCTGTTTAAATGTAGCCTATGACCCTTTGATATTATCCCAATAACTTGATTTCTTTTTTACATGGGATCAAATATTATTCCCTTTTTAATTGTTGCTATTTTCCAAGCTATTTGTTCCTAATTCAAAAGTTAATATATAGAATTTTAATGAAAAATTAACACAAAGAATTTTTAATATTTGTTTCTGGTTGAAAAAAAATTAAATAAAGAAGGGACTAAGTTCCATTTCACTCTGCATCTCTCAGAAATTCTCATTGGAAAAACTGTGGTGCACAGAAGTTAAATAGCTCAATAAATACCCAAATACTTAGGTTCTAATAGAGACCATGAGGGTATGACTCAATCCCTGGCATTTGGACATAAGTTAAAAATAGTACTAACTAGTTGACTGGATGATTTTCTGGTATGACAGAACAAGTACAATAAGTATAGGTTCTCTGTAGCAAATAGAATATGCAGAAATAAATGGATTGTCATTTTATCATATCATTGTATATTGATTTGTGCTTCAGAAAAATTCAATGTGTATTCTTGCAGCTGTGATTTTCAGTTTGCTTGAAGGTAAATAGGAAAGATAAATTTTTTTATTGCCTGTCAAACACTGAGAACATTGAGACCTTCAGACTTTTCTAATTATTGATTTTTAGTAGTAGCCCCAAATGGGTAAGACAAAATAGATTGATATAATGAAATCTGTATTGAGAAATACTTTTATGAAAAAATGTCTCACATGCTAAAATAGTTTAATATGTTAACTCATGCTATTTATGGAAGATGAATTGAGGACTTCCTTCACGGAAATTATCATTGTGGATTCAAGCCATTGGTATTTTCTAATGCCATAAATATTTTTTGTAGTTTTGGTGGTTTTGTGAGTGTTATATCTGGTGGATACAGCAAAAAGTCACAGTGTAGACTATATCCTCTCAAAGCAGTAAGATTTTTCCTCAAACTCTACTAAATATGAAAAATATGTTCATTAACATAACCAGCTGAGTAATGGCCCTGTTTTAAGATGCTGTCACTAAATCACAAATAATTAGTATGAAGCTTAGAAATTTGAAATGAAAAATATGAATTCTCTCATTTTTGCAATGCAATCATTAATATTATGTGATCATTTATTTAATCAGGCTTTTAAAATCATAGATCAACAGTTATTTATATGGTAATAACATCAGCAAACTCAAGAATTATATTAAAGGCAATGATTTAATCACATTTTAATAGGAAGAAAATTATAATGGAAAAACCATACTGACAGAAGCATTTTTAACAATTAGGTGTTTTTTTTTTTTTTTTTTTTTGGCAAATCCACTTGAAAGTACAGCTTAACTTTTCAGAAATCTTGCATAAGATATGATCATTTCAGTTTAAGACCAATGAGACAACAGTGTATGCCAGACACCTAGATGAGGAGTATGTAATGGGTCCTTCATCAGGAATCTCCCTGTGCTGGAACTGAAACTGGCAGATGGAGATATATATACATACATACATACATACATACACACACACACACACACACACACACACAAAGAGACCAGTCCAGTTAAGGCCTTAAGAGTTGCAGAAAGAGATTACAGATTGCTCTTGGATTTGAAGTGGAGAAAGGGTATAAATAAGTAGATAACAGAGAAAGATAATTCACAAGTAGGTATCATTTGAAACAGGCTTTGTTGTAATTAGTATTGTTTTTGCATACGCAAATGAATGTGATGGCAAAATAAATATGTCATGCCACAAATGGTGTCTACCATAGATTTACCCATCTCTCGCCAGTGGTATTCACATGTTGTTCTGGAAGCAGAAATCATTTTTGATATGAAACTTCTGTGGAAGCCCTTTGGATAAAACTGGTTGAAGTGCATTAGCTTCAGCTGAGAATGGTGGAAAGTTAGAGGTCTGAAGTATCCCTCTCCATTTTGTTTACTATTTACCACCAGTAACTCCTTTCATCAACATGTCTCTAGACATGTGCTGTAATTTGAAACACTGTATTATGATTGTTGGAATGTGTAACAAGTATTATTTTAATAACAGAAAGTATAGTTGAAAGAAGTCATTTTGGCTAATGGAAATATCTGTGTGATGGACCCTATAGGTTGGTATTTTTCAAGGAGTAGAAAAGGGCTAATACACCACAGGACTGCTATTAGATCTTGAGAAAGTCGTGAATCTTTTTACATTACAGAAATGTAACAATGAGTGATATTGACGTAGAGTAGAATATATATATATATAGGTATGGGATAGTAGGAATTATAACTGAAATGGTAATTTGGGACAATATTCTAAAGTCTTGGAATAATAGACAAGTCCATGTGCTAGTATAGCTTGTATTCTGCACAACTGTATCATTCATAGTCGATCATCATGTGGACAATCTGAGCAGCTATGCACAGTGATTGTGCAATTGAGGTTTTTGCACTTCATCTGGATAAAATGAAGTATCATTGAATTTCTTCAACTCTGAGAATAATATAATCCTTGTTGAACCTAAAAAAAATAATCTTCAATATTTTGTAAAATGACTCAAATTCCAGAAACATGAATGTAAAACAAACCAAACTTTATGGTCTCTTAGAAGAATATATTAAGTTTTTAATTTCTTTAGGAGAGAAAGAGCAAAACAAAAATGACTAACACTCTTTTCTCAAGTGACCAGAATAATTGTTAATAGCATGACAGAAATAGAAAAGTTGTATATTTCATAATTAGGATCAGGTAAGAGACAGAATTAGTTCTTTTTTGATTCTTTCAATTACTGCACATAATTTCACCATATTAAACATCAATTTGTCTGTAATTATTACTCCATAGCTTTAACTTTTTCTTTTTTTTCCTCTCTTTCAGGCTGAAGTCATTGATGTGAGTTATGGAACAGCAGATGATTTAAAAATGATTAAAAAAGTCAAAAATATAACAAATCAGATTGCACTCCTGAAATTAGGAAAATTACCTCTACTTTATAAGGTTGGTCCAATGGCAGTTCTTTTGTTATAGGGTGAATACTTTTTATTTGTTTGTTTGTTTTTTTGCTTTGTTGGAGTCATGAGCTTTTGAGAGTATGGAGTTTGTGTGTGTGTGTGTGTGTGTGTGTGTGTGTGAGAGAGAGAGAGAGAGAGAGAGAGAGAGAGAGAGAGAGAGAGAGAGAGAGAGAGAGAATGGCATAAAAGGTCATAGATTGTCACAGGAAGATGACTTTTTCCAAAATAGAATATTCTAAATGAAGTGATTTATATCCTTAGTCCTTAAAACAGAGGTTACCTTAAGCTGAGCCTTGTTGCGTTTGTGGGACCTTGATAAAATTAGCGTGCTCTTCATAATAGCACCTGTCTGTAAAGGAAAACCACAGCATCCTCTTCTCATGACAAATGTGAAATTTGTAATCTATTATCCAAACTGACTAATTACCTTTTGCTTCATGTTACACAAGTATCTAGTTGATTTATACTCCTTAGTGATTGATTTTGTCAACTGTATAACTTCACAGTTACTAACTGTGCTCAAGAATTTAATTAAAATATAATAGGCTAAGGAGAAGCAGAATTTTGATTTATTTTATTTAAATAGAAGTTTATTAACACTCATCCTCTAAATGCATTTACATAATTAAAGCATCTCAATCTTACTATCTGATAATGAAGCACCACAATAGAGAGCCATGGCTGCTCATTCTTACCTCATTTCCTTTTTCTATTTAAGAAGAATGGTCAATGTATTCATATCACTGGAAATCCCTGGTTCTGAAGATAAATTAGATTTCTCCTCATTCAATCTTAAATGAGCTTTGCTAATTCCCTGGTCCAGAAATGTTTCCAGAAATCTCTTGGCACACTGTATTAGGAAAGAAGAGAACATTCTGTACCTATTTTTCATTGTTGTTCAAAGATGTCACTTCACTTAAATCTGATAGTGCCTGATTATATATAAGTGGCCAGAATTTTTAAATATTCTTGAAAATAAAATACAAAATGAAATTATTATTTCCTATTGCATAATTTTCTAATATATTAAATGCCTTAAAATAATCATATTTTGATCCAGCACTCTCATATTAAATGTATTCTATTCTGGGAAGGGGAAAGAAGTGATAAACAATCATGATTAATGATGTGACCAAATATTAAAAATTATGCTACATTTGTCCTGCTAAATACCACACAGCTATTAAAAGTAATAAAGTAAAAATCATCATAAATCAAATAAGTTATAAAGAGAACATTTAAAATAAATAATGACTTTATTATTATTGCCTCTGACAGAAACACTGTTATGATATGGGATAGATATTTTTCTAAACATGTTTTATATGTTATCACATTAACATTCACAATAGTCATAATGTCGAAGTGGGGGCTATTATTATCTTCAATTTTCAGATAAGGTAACTAAGGTAGAAAAGTGATGACTAATTGACTCAAAAGACAGAGATGTAGTTAAAGGAAATTCTCAGGACTTCCACACAGGAAGGCTCATCTCAAATCCTGAGTTTTTAAGGCCTGTGTATGTTTTGGTGGTAGTGGTGTGGTGTTGTTGTTGGTGATGGTACATTCGTGCATGTGTTCGTGCGTGCGTTTATTTTGCTACAGTAAATCATTAATAGGTAATCAAGATGATAAATTAGAATTTTTAAACTGATACTCTAAGGTACAGAGTGGCATGTCAAAATCTGCTACCAAATATCAATATTTCAAATGAAATAACTAAAAATAGATAGAAATATTGCTAAGTCCCTCACTCATACCTGGGATATAAAAGGTTTTGGAATTGAAGAGCAGAGGTTTTATGGAGAGTTAAAAAGTTGTATAGGAGGTTCCACTGTACCACTGGGGACAGGGACTTCAATGGAACACATGATGGGCTTAACACCTATTCCCTTCAGTGTGGAATACAGGGTAGACTGATGGATAAATCTACTTGAAAAATCTAAAGGTAAGAGATTAGCTTGCTAAGGTGTTAATAAATGAGCATAAAAAAGTATCAGTGTTGGGTTGGCCTGTGTCCCTGAGTTGGCAATAGAAAAATCTCCATGTATTCCTAGTAAGTCAGATGGAGCCACATGACAGAACCAGTGTCATCTCCTTTCATTCTTGCCACTTGGATTGTTGATGCATAAGTCAGCCACAGGGCACATTAGAATTGCATTTGTTCCCATCAAGGAAACTACAATAGAGGCTGCTTCAATGAATTCACAATGTATCCACAAGGCCCAAAGGCAGCTTAAAATATCTGTGAGCCCCAGATAGCCTGTAGATCTCTTAGGACAGGAATAGTACAGTCAGAAAAAAATCATACCCAATGAAGCTTTTAATATTTCCCACCCCATGTACTAAATGTATTCCTGTCCCTCCAACACTAGAGGGAATTTTAAAATGATGAAATTTTAAATGAAGGGTACAGATTTGAGACATTCTAATTACTTAAGACTGGTAACTCAAATTGATTATAGGGCTTTTTATTGCCAATAATCATAAAAATAATGGGAAGGTCCAAGTTGTCTTCTAGGACTTAAGAGAAAAAAATATTCCTGTTTGAGTATTTTTAGAGGGGGCAGTGTCATTGCTTTGGATATAGATATATTACACAAAGCCCTGCTTGTTCAACCTATCATTACTATAATGTGTATGTTAGGGGATAATTATATAATTGGGTAGGTAGAATTATGAACGATTTGACTTCTTTTTATTTTTCTGCATTTATAATTATTCTAAATGATTGTGTATATATTTTGTAAGCAGAAAGCATGCCTTTAAAATTTCAAGTTAACAAATTTTAAAAAAATCAAGTTAAAATAAGACCCTAAAAAGTTTTTTTTTTCCTAATAGTGCTTATAGGCCAATTATTCAAAATCCTAACACCAAATATATAATGGATTAAAATAAAGCAACTTTCTTTGTGTTAGTTTCAGAGGATACTTGTATTATGAAACCCTTTGATTCGTTATAAAGTAGTGTTTTATATGGAATAGGAAACAACAAGAACCTGGTAATACTTTCCTGATAAACCTATGAATAAGTTTAACAAAGCATTGTGTGCAGAATGTCCTTCCAGACAGAGCCTTGCTAAACACTCTTCATTATCTTCTTGACAGAGGGACAGGGCATACCAAAGCTTTGTATGTACATTAGTACTGAATCTATTAATACACATTCACATGGTAAAGAAGAAAGAAGCATGGGTCAGACAGGATTCTAGAGCAAAATTTCTGCTGAGCTTGCCTCACCTGTCCATCAAGTATATTCTGGGTCTGAAATTCAAATGTGAGGTCATACAATTGACATTAAAATGGCATAGAACTAAGTGACTTCTTTGTGAATCACAATTGTTAATTATGATTCTAAATGAACATTTGGTATGGGAACGTGCAGCTGAATGGGTAAAGAGAAAAGTTAATCTTATTTTAGCTGAGCAGTAGTTACTAAATCACAGTTCAAAAAGGAATTTGGAAGGGAATCTGTGAATCTAAGATAGGGAGGGCAAAGAGGAAGCATAATTGGTACATTAAATTATCTCCTAAAATGAATAGAAAATAACCTAGAGCTGAGAAGGAGATCTTTTTAGTTTTATCATGAATTCCAAATGTTAATTTAATTTCATTGAAGTGATTGGTGAAAAAATACCCCCACTGTGTGCCAGGAAAGGTGTAACACAGTGGCATTTAGATGTATGCCTTGATATCCACAAATATTGCTGCAGATAACTCAAATGAGTTCTCTGGAGCTCTGCGCTAGTTTGCTGTAGCTTAAACTATAGAGGACAGGCTTTGGGTTCATTTTAGATTTATATTTATAGTAGTTTATTTTAAGGGTAAGTACTTTTGTTTATTTAAACCTTTAGGGCAAAATAGTCTTTTAGTTGTCATAATGGACTCAAATTTCTCTCACTGACATTATGAGACATAGTAATGTGGACCCTGAGACCTTCATAAATTCTCAAATTTCTAGAAAGAACTCTCCCACGAAATTTATTTTTATAAAATACAATAAAATTTGACATTCTTCTTGTGACCATTTTTATAAAAACAATAAGAAAAATATTGTAAACTCTATGACACCTAGAAATACATTAAACCTTACTGAAAAGTGAAGTCTACACCATTCTCTAGTTTCTACCACACATTAGTGCCATGTCTTGGAGTCATTTTTGTATGCAATAAAATCACAAATGAATGTATCTTAATCATGCCATTTGTGTATTGTGAAATTACACAAAACTCCACAAATGCTTTTACTATTTTATATATGGAATAATGCATATCACATTCCTACTACTGTCATATCCTAAGATGTAAAAGATTGGTTAATTTTTTCATTATTTTAATACACACTTGTAACCCTTTGAGATTTTTTTGATGATACAGGAATCAAGGAGATATTTTTAGTTTCTTGAGAACAAAGTATTTTCTATCTATTCATCAGGTAATGTTTTTATCTAATCATAAATAGGAACAATGAAAGAGAAATGCTTTTTAGATCTGTGCCTATGTTGTTCTAAATATTTGGGCCCTGTATGACTTATCACAGGTAAGCCCAGAAATCATGTTTAGATGGGAAAGCCTTTGAGAAGAGTCTGGGGAAAAAGAAAAGTGGGAAATAAACAATTTCTATGTATTTCTCCTGTCAAATATGTAGATTGCTTACTATAAATTAGGAAGGAGTTGTATTATTTAAAGAAAAGACAAATTCATATTATTTTAATTTTAAAATTAATCCAAAAAATGATTAAAGTTTAAAACATGAGGTGATGGTTGAGAAAATATCTATAAATATTGATTACATATACTTAATATTCAAAGATTGGACAACTGGAAAATTATTAAGAAATCCAATAGTTCTGGTAAAGTTAGTGGTGAGTAGAGTGCCACTTAAAATTAATTTTCATGAAACATTTCCATACTTGTCAAATTAGCTGAACTATGAGTTTCATTTATTTCAATTTCCTCTTATTTCTCAAAACATTTGTTTAATCCC